TATATATATATCGTGTGTGTGTGTCAATACCCGCATTCAAGCTTCTTTGCTTTTATACATGCTAGATTTGCTAATTTTGCTTGTGCTAGTATTACTGTATTAGTAGTGGGGGAGGTGAAAAGAGAAACTTTTTAGTATGTAATTGATGTCAACTCAAATTTATACGGCATCTATGCCAGATTGCTCGGGAAATGGTGATAAGTCCTAGAAACTCCAGGTTGGGCCTTACTGCTTTGACAAAGAGATTAGGATTGGGTGATCGGCCTGACAGTCCTGATGGTGAGATTATAAAATATAAGGTATAATTCTTTCATGGAACATGAACTGGCTTAATTTAATGCTTGATTTTTTTATTTTTTACAACATATTCTCGATTCACTTACCTGTTTACTCCCCTTGATGATTCAGTGGGATGATCCTCATATAATTCCTGCTAATATGACAGTTGAAGTTTCTGAGCTATTTACTCGTGAATTGACAAGGGTAACTAAAATTTTCCTTTCTTTTATGGTTATATTTGGTTATTTCGAACAGGAGAAATGGTTTTGTTTTCATATTGCTAATCTTTCAATATATGACTATTTGCTTGTGGTTATGCTACACGTTCCACTTGTTAAATGCATCAGCAATTTAAAACTGTCCAAGGTGCATGCAACCAGCCACTATCCGAGTCTCCCACCACCAATAAAAAAGGAAAAGAAATAGAATCAATCCGAGCTTCTTGATTATACATGCAAGTTCTTTAAAAAGTTACAGTGTCATGGGCCTCCTTCCTGTGTTCTTTGGTAATAACTTGTGGAAAACTCATCCAACTGCTTAAGAACTGTGGTACTTCTATTACAAACTTTACTCTGGTTTTCCTTTTACTTTTTGTTTGTTTTCGCATTATCGCTTATTGGTGTCGTGCATATCAAAGCTGTTGGTCCACCTTTAGTATCAGCCTATTCCCATCAAAGTATTATTAACTGCCACAAATGATTTGAATTCTGGGGATTACTACAAATCCATAAGGAAGATAGCAAGCTTATTTAGTTTTATGATACAAGTTTGAGTTATGCATCTGTTACGGGCAGTTCTTATTCTGCTTTTTCGCAAATAATCTAACTTAATTGCTATCACAGTATATTGATGAGACAGAAGAACTTGCAATGAGGGGATTGATGGCCAACAGGCATATACTGGATTTAATTTCCAATGAGCTTCTTGAACACTCGAGGATAACTGGATTGGTATGATAAACCTGCAGTTATATTCTCTACTATGTTAAGAGTATATTTGATTAGAAATCGAAGTATATTTATCTACCTGCTTTCTGCAAATCAATTCTCAATCTCCTCGCAACAATCAATATTCTCCATACCACGTGCACTTGTTTGCCTACTTCTCCATTATTATGCATCGTATAGAGTATCTACTGCATGTTATGTACCTGTTTCCCCACCAATTCAATTGTATGAGCTGTTACATGCTATCTTATTTTTGTGAATAGTTCAGGCCTTTCCTTCAAAACATTACTGAAATGCTTGATATATCCGAACTTTAAAACATCTTTCTAGGAATAGCTCTCAAAATAATGAAAAAGAACATAGAAAGTTAGAAACATTGTGACAAAATTTTATAGGAGCCAGCAAGTGGATTGACGCATGAAATCACACCTAAATATTTTGAAGTTTCTTTATAAGCCGGAATGGCATTCCCTAAACGAGAATACTTTGTGAGAATTAATTTTCCCTCCATCCCAAATTATATGGTACTCTTTCCTTTTTAGTCAGTCCCAAAAAGAAAGTCGCCTTTACTTATTAAGAAACAATTTATCTTTAGAATTCCTAATTTTCCCTTAATGAATTGATTTAAAGCCACACAAATATCTATGGTTTGTTTTAGATCACAAGTTTCAAAAGTCTTCTTTTGTTTCTTAAACTCCGTGCCGTGTCAAACACCGCCACATAAATTGGGACAGAGGGAGTAGATCACTATAGCTCTATAAGATGTTCATAGCATGGAAAAGTAGATCTTTAATGCAAGTACGAGGAGTTTTGACCAGGAATAGCATGTATAATGCATCGCAAAGCCCTAAACAAAAAATATATGTACTAGTATGAGTACTCGAACAACCAGAAGGTATTTTGATAAATTTTCGACTATGGGTGCACAACAAGAACTTAGTTGTGAGTTCTTCAGAGGCCATCTAGCCAGATTATTTCATCCAAAAAGAAGATTTAGAAGAGTAACTGAAGGTCATGGGGGAAAGTTTTTGACATTCAAGCTTACAATGAAGGTGCTGAAAGTTGGTTTGAATGGGTGGAAAGTAATAAGTATGCCAAACGAAAGATGATGTTAAGCAGGAAACTATCTTTGTAGGTCTGCCACACTCTCAAAGAAGCCTCTATGTATAGGGGAAGGATCTTTAAGTCATGGAAGAGTAGGGACCATATCACGGACATATATGGCTCTCTTAAACATAATAGATTTGGCAGGTTTATATGCTTAATTTCAGTACAGGGTCACAGAAGAGCAGTCTTTGTTCTACCAGAGAATGTTCCATATGCAGGGTGGTACGAAAATGCTAGGAATATTGAGAATCTCATTAATAGTACTCCATCAGTCACAAAGGTTCCTTACAGGTGGAATCTACAGAAACTAACTGGAGAAGAATCATACAAAGAGGCACTAGATAAGAGCAAATGGAGAACAGATGAAGCGTGTCTCCAAACAATGACTTCTTTAAACAATCTGATCAGAATAACTGGTGGCAAATCTTCGGATGAATCTGAAATGTTGCAAAGATGCTTGGTGGGTAGTTTTGCTGGTCAGGCTGAGCCTCCGACAAGAAATGATGTTCGTAGATGGGCCGCTCAAACCTGGAAGGTTGCTCATGGTTTCAACGTATATGACATGAATGGAGTTCAATTCCTCTTTGAATTCCCCTCAAGGAAATTGGCGGAACACGTTCTGGTGGGTCGTTGGCAAAGACAGAACAGTAAACTCAGGCTGGAGTGGTGGAGCCCAATGGCATGGTGCTTTCCAACGGCAAAAAAATTGACTGGACTTGGATTAGAGTCTTGGGCCTTCCCCTACTACTATGGAACAAGAAGGTGATGACAATAATCGGCGATAAATGTGGGGGGTGGTTGGAAACAGAGGAGGAGACTGATCTCAGAAACCACTTGAGATGGGCACGGTTAAAGGTTAAAGGACCACCAGAATTAATTCCTGCTAAGGTTGAGATTGAATACGAAGGCTTGATTTTTACAATCCCGGTATGGAGTGAAACTCTGGTGTTCTTCCGGCATTCGGAGGTGGTGGTTAGTCTATACGGGGTAGGGGGGATTAAGAGGGTAGAGGAGAAGGACAGTGATGGGACAAAAGTCAGTGGGGGAACAATCGAGGCTGCCGAATCTTATAATCCAGCGGTTATAAGGGGTAGTGGTTCAGATAGTGTTTCTCTAGGGGTAATCAATGGTGTTAAGGGTGCTTTTAAACATGTTGGGTCGGGACGAACAAAAGGAAAAGGGATGGAGCTTTGTCAGATTGTGGAAAATGGGCCCAATCCTGTATGTGAATCACGTGAGAGGCATGGGGGAGTAAAGGATTTTGTTGGGCTAGCTGAAGAAGGGCCTAATGAGAATCAAACCAAAGAAGGAGAAAAGGGCTATTTTAAGCCCAATCCAATCATCACAAATCAAGACAACCCTGAACCTTTAAACTTAAATGATGTGGGAGGAAATCACGAAAGTTTTCTTGCACAAATAAAAGCTCTGGTGGTAGAAACAATCCGTGAAGAACAACAGTAAATGGAGGATCGCATCTCGACTCAGGAACAAACTTTTCTCTCTCTCAAACAATCTGCAAACCAGACCCTCAACACAACACCATCCATAGTGGGAGAGGAACATGACAGATCAGTTGGGAAGAACCTAGACTCCCATCTTCCTCTGGTAAATTACATACAAGGTGGCCCAGGGGATGAAGACACCCATACAGTCTTCAAAGACTGTCTCTCTGAAGGCGAAGGCATTACTGATGAATCAGACATGCAATTGGTCTAAAACCAACAGATCGATATAGCAGAACCAATTGAGGTGCACCCACAGACCTGTGATCTAGATGTTCCTGCATGGATCAAAAGAAACATTGGAAAGATGAGCAAAACATACGGTGTTAGCTTTGAAGGATGCGAATGGGAAGCTATGGCTCTATTTTTGAAGATAGACAGTAGGAAAAAGGAAATGAAAGCAATGATGCGATTAAAAAACAAAAGCACAGTTCTTTCACCAAAATTAAAAGGAGTTTATGAGAGGAAGAATTTGAAGGTTGGAGTGAAGTACAAAGATGGAATCCCAAGGAACAGAGGGAGGCAACTACTCATTAAAAGTTGATGAAGATACACATAATTTCCTGGAATGTAAGGGGTGGGGGAGAAAAGGAAGCTGATAAAGTCAGCTTTCAAAGAGTGGAGGACAAACATTTACTGTCTGCAAGAAACGAAGATTGAGGGGGACTGTGATGGTATTGCAAAACAACTGGGTAGCAGTAGGTGGATTGATCATATAAAGCTAGAAGCTGAAGGGACAAGGGGAGACATCTTAATTATGTGGGATAAGAGAGAATGGAAGGGGGAACTAGTTGAAAAGGGAAGATATTCTATCACTTGTAACTTTAGTTCAGTGTTAGATAATTTCTTATGGGTTTTGACTGGGGTGTATGCTCCATGCAAGAGAGTGGAAAGAAAAGATCTTTGGTTAGAGTTGGGTGCTATGAAAGGATTATGTAATAGAAATTGGGTGGTATGTGGTGATTTCAACACCACTAGATTTGCAAATGAAAGGAAAAATAGAAACTCATACAGTACAGCGATGGCAGATTTTTCAGAAACCGTGGAAGAACTGGAATTGATTGATCCTCCACTTCGGGGGGGCCAGTTCACCTGGAACCAAGGTGACAACTCTGAATGTGCTTCTAGAATAGACAGATTTCTTCTCTATGGAGTGGGATGAAGAATTTAGTTTTATCCGACAGAGCCTTCTCCCAAAGGTAATATCTGATCATACACCAATCTCTTTGAAATGTGGGGAATGGGAACTCAACAAATCTTATTTTAAATTTGAAAATTGGTGGTTAGATGTTGAAGAGTTTCCCTCAAAAGTGCAAACTTGGTGGAATTCCTTTGTGATTGTTGGTAGGCCAGATTTTGTGCTAGCCACCTAATTAAAACTCCTCAAAACGAAGCTAAAAGAGTGGAATAAGGAGGAGCATGGCAGTCTAGAGAAAAGGAAGAAGACAATTCTCAGTAACATTTCAGTATTTGATCAGATTCAAGAAAACAGAAAGCTTACTGAAGGAGAATTACTGGAAAAGGCTGGCCTCATGCTAGAAATTCAGGAGTTAGCTAAGCATGAAGAGACAACATGGATACAAAGGTCCAGATCCTTATGGCTGAAACAAGGGGACAAGAATACAAAGTTCTTTCACAAAATGGCTAATGCACATAGGAGATATAATCACATTGATAAGCTGGAGGTGCAAGGGCAAACGACCACAAACTCTGTAGAAATCAAGAAGGAAATCATAGACTTCTATCAGAAGTTGTACGCTGAACCTGAAATATGGAGGCCAAACTATAATCTTGATAGGGGGACCTTACTAACATAAGAGGAACGTTTATGGTTGCAAAGAGAGTTTGAAGAACAGGAGGTGGTGGAATGCCTCAAGTCCTGTGTTTCAGACAAAGCACCCGGACCTGATGGCTTCACCATGGGTTTTTTCCAGAAATGCTGGCCAACAGTCAAGGAAGATGTCATGTTGACCCTGAAGAATTTTCACTCTAATGAATACTTTGAAAAGAGCTTAAATGCATCCTATGTGGCTCTTATCCCAAAGAAGAATGAGGCTAGAGAACTTAAAGATTTTAGGCCAATTAGCTTGATTGGAAGTGTTTACAAGATTATAGCCAAAGTCCTAACTGAGAGGCTAAAGACTGTAATTAACAAGCTCATTGGAGGTCATCAAATGGCTTTCATAAAAGGTAGACAAATCATGGATGCTTCTCTTATTGCTAATGAGGTGGTTGACTCTAGACTCAAAAGCAAAATTCCAGGCGTTCTATGCAAGCTGGATATAGAGAAGGCTTACGACCATGTCAACTGGAAGTTCCTCATGAGATTAATGTCTGACATGGGCTTTGGAACTAAGTGGATTAACTCGATCCGTTTCTGTCTTAGCACTGTAAAATTCTCTATCTTGATTAATGGCTCACCACAAGGTTTTTTCTCTTCAGAAAGGGGGCTAAGGCAAGGGGATCCTTTATCCCCCTTTTTGTTTCTGATGGCAATGGAAGGGTTGAATCAGATGATCAACACTGCAAAGTCAAATGGCTGGATCAAGGGTTTCAAGGTGTCTAACAAACAAAATTGCAGCCTAGAGATTTCACATCTCCTGTATGCAGACGACTCTATCATTTTCATGGGAATTCAACCAGAAGAGATGCTTCATCTCAGACTAATATTAACAACCTTTGAAGCTGTTGCAGGCTTACATGTTAACTGGGGAAAGAGTAAGCTATATCATGTAAATGAAGTTCCAAACATACAGATTTTGGCTAATATTTTGGAATGTGGAATAGAGAACCTACCTACTAAATATCTAGGCCTTCCTTTGGCCTCCAAAAACAAGTCGCAAGAAATCTGGCAAGGGGTGATTGAAAGGAGTGAAAAAAGACTTTCAAGACGGAAGAGTCAATATTTGTCACTTGGAGGCAGGGTGACTCTGGTGAATAGTGTCTTAGATGCACTGCCTTCCTATGTGATGTCCTTATTCCCAATACAAAGTAAGGTGGGGAAAAAGATTGATTCCCTAAGAAGAAATTTTATCTGGCAAGGAAATAGTGAGAAAAAGGCTATTCACTTGGTCAAATGGGATACTCTTTTGTGTTCTAAGCAGGAAGGTGGTTTAGGTATTAGAAACCTAAAGGCTCAGAACAACAGTCTCCTTGCAAAATGGTTATGGAGGTATAATTTGGAGGAAACAACTTTATGGAGAAGGGTGATACAAGAGAAGTATGGCCATGGAGGACCTTGGTGCACCAAACCTGTATCATTCCCATATGGAGTCTGTGTATGGAAAACAATTAGGGGACAATGGAGGTTCATTGCTGATCATTCTAGTATCAAGGTTGGAAATGGAAGAAGAGTTCTCTTCTGGTGTGACACATGGTTTGGGCACACTCCTCTGAATGATCAGTTTCCAGAATTATATAACATTGACGCGAACCCAAGAATTTCAGTAGCAGAAGCAAAATCCACACATGGGTGGAATATTATTTTCAGAAGGAACTTAAATGACTGGGAGTTGCAAAGTGTAACAGAATTCTGGGAAATCTTAGAAGCCTTCCAAGGTCTCACAGAAGAGGATGATGTTTTACTGTGGAAGGGTCACAAATCAGGAGCATTTTCAGTGAAATCTGCTCATCATTTCTTCAACACTACTACTAATCCTACTCAAGGATGGCCATGGAAACAAATTTGGAGGGTCAGGGCGCCCACAAAAGTCTTATGTTTCACATGGTTAGTAGCAAGGGAAGCTGTTCTAACCCAGGATAATCTTATTAGGAGAGGAATTCAGCTACAAGCTAGGTGTAGTCTTTGTGGCAAAGATGGGGAGTCAGCATCCCATCTCTTTATACACTGTCCAGTCACTATTCAACTTTGGCATTTCTATATTAATTTGGCTGGAATCTCATGGACAATGCCCAATAACACTACATCTCTTCTAAGTAGCTGGAACAATGGAGGTGCAAATATTAAACAGAAGAAATGGTGGAAAGTAGTTCCCGCTTGCATCTGGTGGGTCATATGGAAGGAAAGGAATGCCAGAATTTTTGAAGATAGGCCTAGCTCTTACTAGAAAATTAAGCTTAATTGTTTTTTGTTATTTCATTTTTGGTGCAAAGAGAGCTATAGAGAGGATGTACACTCTTTACTAGATTTGCTAGAAGAAATGTAATCGAACAGAAAAGGCTACGCAGTCTCTGATCTTTTGGGGTCTGAATGTGGCTCACACAATCTCTTGTAAATATTTTACTCTTTTATAAAATTTGTTACCATTATCAAAAAATAAATTTTCGACTATGTTTTTCGTTGTGGTTCGAGTGTCTTGTGATGTGATTGTTGCTTTCGGGGTTGAAATGTTAGATTAGAGGATTGAAATATCTGGTAGAAAAAGTCGGAGTTAATTTATTTCCTACTTGAGACAAGAAAATTTGACGGGACATGGAAGTGCATATAGATTTGTACCGCAAGTAGAGGAAAACGTATTTCATGTTACCTCATGATAAAGTCCTAGTCGACTCTTCGACACGTGGTAATTTGGGGAGACAATTTATGGATTATTTCTGGTGTTGATAACAATTTGCTAAACTTGGTTTCAGCTAGAATATTCTTCATGCTTAGAAGCTCCAAAAACAACCTATCGCAAACTATTTTATTGAAAAAAACCTATTATAAACTATAGGTATGTTATATTTTGACAAAGAAATCTCGCATAGAAAATCTTAGAAAACATGTAATTGGACCAGTAAATTCTATAATAGATCTAGCAGATCAAAGAGCCTATGAACCTAATGTGCCTGACTAAATCAAATAAGAGATATATATGTGTATACACCAAATGCACACTCAAAGCCTATTTTAAAGGAATCGTTAACTTATTTGGTTCAGAAAGATATAGTTTAGAACGTCGAAAGAGATGGTTCCTTTATATCTTGCTAAAAGTAGGAGAGATCAAGTGCTAGAGCATTCACAGTACTAAAGAGGATCTTCTTTATAGATTGCAAGAAGAGAATGTTGCGGTCTTACGGAACAAAAGGAGCTTATTGTTATACAGATACTTAAACATACGTGCCAATTTAAATTTATTCCATCGTCGCTCATCAAGCTCTGTCAAACAGTGGTAAATTCAAGATGGATATTGAATTTGAAACTTGGACGGAAAATTTTAAAATGTCTAGCTGACATGCCTCTAATGATGTTGAACAGTGGTAAACACCATACTGATTAACTGTTTTAAACAAACCTCAGTTTTCATTTTGTTTCCACATTACGACGATTCCTAATTGGATTGGCTGGCTCATTCAGGAAAATGGTAGTTTGCATTCCAAGGAGAACATTGGACATTTTAATTCTTATTCTCTGACTGCATTATTTGGGTGTACTATCTGAATGGTAGAACCCGTATATAAAAAAAGGGCAGCCCGGTGCACTAAGCTCCCGCTATGCGCGGGGTCCGGACCACAAGGGTTTATTGTACAATAGACCAGTATATATTCTTTAATTTTTATCTTAGTGCCTACTTGTGGACTTCTTTCCTATGTTATAGCTTCTTGTCTGGCATACTAAACTACGCTTTATATTTTTCATCAAAACCTGGGATGTACTTTTAGTTTTTATTTTTTGACTTGTCAGCATCTTTTTGTTTGCATCCTTGTTTCTGTTGACATCCTCTGCTGGTTCTTCTTCAGGAAGTAGAAGACAAAATTAGAGGGTTATGCCCTACCATGTTTGAAGATTTTGTGAAGCCTCTCCAAATAAACATGGAGGAGGTAATATTCTCATCTTCATATATATTTTCCAGTTATTATGTGAAGTCTTTATAACAACCATTTTCCTTAACAGTTAATATTTGAGCTGGCAACCTTATGCTGTCATCCACATTTTTATCAGGTGTCTTGGTTTTGATTCTTGTAATTATAATACACATAACAAACTGTTTTAAATTCTCAGGAAGGACCATTGCCTCATAATGACCGTTTGAGTTATCAACCGCTGGACATTTATGCCGCACCCTTCCACAGATGTTAAAATCAGTGGTGGTTATAGGAATTTTGTGGTCAGACTAGTATGGAAAGTCGTCAAGTAGTGAAATTTGGGGCGCAGAGAATATAGAATTACCTTTTTTCACATCAACTCTGACCAATGCCTTCGTGAAGTTCCAACGCAAATGCCAATGGAAATACTGCTAATAGATAGATACGTTGGGTAGGCCTGGGCACTGTTTCATTCTTGGCTCTGGTATACAAAGATACGTTGGAGATTTTGATGATCGATCACGTGCTTTGTATAAAGGATGTTTTTTTCCCCAATGCTTTGTAAAACTGATTTTAAGACTATTTATGCATCATTCTATTGCAAAGCTTATGTTTTGCTAACTATCATTTTCTTTTATCGACTGAATAAATCGTTTACTCATTCATCAATGACGTTAATCGTTCTTTTGCATCCTTTTCTGCTGATTACGTACGCCAGAAAATCAGCTCTTCTCCCAATTACTAGCAGCTTGGCAAATATCCAAAACGTATATACAAAGACCAATAAACAAAAGGGATTGGTAGCTAAAGCATTTTTAGCTCGCTCATGGGACTTTTGCAACTCAACTCTTGGATCTATATTTAGCTACACAAGTGAAGATACTTATGTTTTGTTTAATTTATCAATTTCAAAGGACTACTTTCTCTATTTTAACCTTCACTCTGACATCAAACGCAATACTGTTTAATCGTTCTCTTTCCCCCAACATTACAGGAATATATTGTTAAAATATTGCAGTTTCCTTTGGAAGTCGAACAAGACACACAAGTGCAATTTCCCATTCCCTTCCAATAATTCAAACACTCACTCTGCACTGGAGAAATGCCAGAAAGATGAAGCTGAACGCTCAAGGGTTTTTCCATTGTTAGATCAAGTACTAGAAGTTAGTATCAGTTCCCCTAATTTTTTGCTCTTGGGGAGTTTTTCCAAAGAATGACTCATTAATAAATCAAGTAAATCCAAACAAAAAATGATAACTTTGAATCGACAGTGAGGACAAGTACAGGAACACGCAAGACTCATCTACAATTCCAAGTGGTCCTTTACCTCACTTATTTTGTACAAGGAGTTGTTCTTGGAAGCAAAAAGTAAAAAAGAACATTTCACATCATTGAAAGTGACAGCACTCCATCGGTACTTCAGGATTCAATCATTCATCCGACTTTTTCCCACAATGACCATTTTCAATCAAGTATTCAACAAATTCATCAAGAAGACAAGGCCAAGCTCCTTCAGCATCATAGTTTGATAATGTAGAGTCCACAGTCTGCGTAAGACATCATAGATACCAATATAATGTTCTTTTTTTTTTTTTTATTTTCCTTTGAAAATAACTTGAAATAATACATACTGATGTGCGAAACATTCCGGCAACTTTTTTCTCTTTTTTGTAAGTACAAAACCTTTAGGCATCTTTTGACATGATTTAGATAATAAACTAATAGCAGAAAGTCAGAGGGAATTGGATGGAGTACGGGGAGAAGGTGGAGAATATATAGAGAGGGTGTATTTGAAAGCTAATACGCTAAAGTGATGAGTCGGAACTTACCTTTGCAAATTCCAGTAGCTGTAGCCAAACATCACGTGAGATAACCTTCATATTCCGTTCCTGAATCAGTTGGCAGCAAAAGCATACCACAAGAAGAAAGCAAGGACAGGGGTGAGTTATAGCATCCTCAAAAACACTTGTAACAGCACATTAGTTGTCATGCGGAAATACGAACCAAGTGAAAATCATGTGCACATTAAAATAGACACAAATCAAAAGGGGTGGAGCATTATCAAGCATGAGACTACATCAAGTAAACAGAACCAATGAGCATCCAGCAAAATACGGCATGATGTCATCTTCATTAAGCAAAAAAACTGAATCGGCAAACCTAGCAAACGTAGTCAGCTGCCTGTACATAGATAACAACTTAAAAAATGGATATCCGAGGATTTCATCTCAATTACCTCGAGAAACTGACACCAATGCTCAACCAATGGCCACTGCATTTCTGCAAAGAATAACTGCCACAAACCAATTGCCGTTTCCAAGGCCAAAGATTTCTGACCCTGAAAATTAAGTGGATATCGTTATCCCGAGTGCAGTAGAGGAAGCTCAGAGAGAGTATATGTTTTGTACCCTTGTATAATGTCAAATATACGGAAATCTCCATTCAAATGTTTACTAAGAGATCTATAAATAAACAACCATTACCTAATATAACGAAGTAAGATAAGACATATACAGCTGAAACTACAGGCATGGCATTTGTCATCCTAAAATGTTATTACTATCCGAACCATACTCTTGAGCTTTTCCTGGTTATGAAAAATAACAAACTGCAAAATGTAAGTAAAACATGCAGAACTAGTACAAACCAACAAAGCGGAAAAGAAAAACATAAAGATCTGCTGCTCAGTGGTGTTCACTGAATACTGTAGAATTCTATTCGCTATGGTAAGACAGGAGACCTTTTTTTGATGGTTCAAAAGTTATTTATTGATATCACATGAAGAAAGTAGTAGCGCTAATATACAGGAATCAGATGATATATACAACAATCATCCCATAAATCAAGCAAAACCATGGATGCAAACTAGCATACTCATGTAACACAACAACAACAACAACAACAACAAAACCCAGTAGTTTCCCACAAGTGGGGTCTGTGAAGGGTAAGATGTACGCAGCCTTACCCCTACCCCTGGAAGGGCAGAGATTGCAACAAGTAGGAATACGAATAACAGCAAGATAAAATAAGATTGAATCCAAGAATGCATTCAAACTCTAGGTAGTAATAGCAATCTATGAATAAAAAATATCATACTAACACTAATGCTAACGAACTGAGTAAGACAAAGAGAAACGCTCGACTACCTACGAACTTTTTACCCTAATGTTTGACCTCCACACCCTCTTGTCTAGGGCCATGTCCTCAGTCAGCTACAGCTGCGCCATGTCCCGCCTAATAATCTCTTCCCAAGACTTCTTAGGCCTACCTCTACCCCTCCGGCTACCCACCGAGGCTAACCACTCGCACCTTCTAACTGGGGCTTCTATACTTCTCCTCTTAACATGCCCGAACCATCTCAACCCCACCTCCCGCATCTTATCCTCCACAGGGGCCACTCCCACCTTTTCCCAAATAACTTCATTCCTAATTTTATCCACCCGGGCACCCACACGTCCACCTCAACATCCTCATCTCAGCTACTTTTAGCTTCTAGGTATGAGAGTTCTTGACCGGCCAACACTCTGCTCCATACAACATAGTCGGTCTAACTACAACCTTGTAGAACTTACCTTTTAAGTCTCAGCGGCACATTCTTATCACACGACACCGGAAGCGAACCTCCACTTTCCCTTCAGTTTCGGAAGTGTAGGTACCTTCCTGCTTTCAAGTGTTTAGATCTTATACTATTTTATTTAACATTGGTGATGTTTCAATCTTGTGTGCACCTAGACCAAGATCTCCTGGACTTCAACAATAGTGTGTGTGTGTGTGTTGGGGGGGGGGGCTAAGTCATATTCAAGAGTGCGGCCGCACACATAAATGCGCGGTCCGCACAATCAGAAGAAGTGCGGCCGCATCCCAGAATTATGCGGCCGTAGAAGGTCTCCATGTCAAGTCAACCTTAAAATACGGACCGCACACAGAATTTTGCGGCCGCAC